CTCCTCCACATACCCCCCAACAATTGCAATTTCAATGGGAAACACCAACAAATACTGTTATGGATTTTGTTTATTCACTTCCATACTAATCAATATTTTGTTTACCATAAATCTGTACCTCGGTGGCGGTGGCAGTGGCAGTGGTGGTGGCGTCGGCGGTGGTGGTGGTGGTGTTGTTGGCGGGTTGAGTTGGAGTGAGAAGGCGGCGGCTGAGGCGGAGGCGGTTGCAGCAATTTCATGTTCAGGCCATGGCAGAGCTTATGTTGATGGCTCCATTAATTCTGAAGGTCGACCCGTTTGTGAGTGCTATGATTGCTATACCGGTATTGATTGCTCGCAAATATCGCCTACATGTCCTGCAGATGCCGATAGGTGACTCTTAATTCATTTCTTTTTTCGTTTCTGAGTTTATGTATTGAATTAAATCGACTTCAAGTCGTCGTCTTCAACGAAACAATAAGAACTGAAAAACTGGCACGTTTGATCAAAAGTCAACGCCAACATAACTCGTATAAATCGACTTCATCGACAACTTGGTAAACCGAAAACCCACAAATCGTCGGTCGAATCTGTGCAGTGGTTTTTTGTGAAGCATGTATTTGACTGAAAAAAATCCTCGTGTTTCATGTCCCTCCGATAAAACCACGTGACAAAAGCAATGCTTCTGTATCGACCACCCGTAGATGTTTATCCACCTGTTTCGTTTGATTAATTGTTCGGTTTGTGCACATGTTTTTTTAGACCAGATCTCTGTTTACATGTGTGTGTGTGGGTGAGTGACGGGACAAAATAGTACAATAACTTGTTTCATGTTTGATACAACAATAAAATAACGTAGATGAGACAAGATTGGTAAATTACTAAATTTTTCTTGTCGGTTAGAATTTTCCAGAGTTCTTTCACTAGCCTACTATACGGGTGTACGCTGTCATTTACACAACCCAACCTAATTATGAAGGTTTGAAAAATCTAATCAAACCCAACTCGTTCAAAATCATATATTATGATACAGGGCCGTCCCTTAGCATGTTAAATGTGAGATTTTGAACAGAACCTCCAAAATTTTGGGGCCTAAATTTACATGTGTATAGAGTCTTTTATCGACCTGTATAAAGCTATAGCCAAAATTATTTAGATTCAAACCATTAAGTGTTTGGTTTTAGGTCCAAATTATTAATGGTTTAGGTTTAGTTTCAAGTTGTTAATCGTTTTAGGTTTAACTCATTTTTGTTCTTAAACATATATTATCTGTTATCTCCTTTATGCAATTTAATCAAAAGTTTTAGATGTAGCAGGACCTCCAAAAAAATTGGGACGTCCCTGTTAGGACACTTAAATATTTTTGTTCTATAAATCTAATGTTGTTGTAGTGAAATGCTATAACTCTTAGCATTTTTTATCAACCAAAATACAACATAAAATTAGGAAGTCTTTGGATTGATAAATCCATCAACTATCTATCAAGATTATTCATATTTGTTGACACATATATTTGTTGTTACTGCAAAAATGATTACAATGATTTTGTCCTATTAGAGTTTTTTTCATCATTCTTTAGTGGTGATTCTCTTTTGGTAACGTATGCTTATAACTAAAAAAAATACAGACATAAATTCAACAAACATTTTATAAAGTTCTACACATTATTAATATATATACTAGTTGTGTACCCGCGCAATGCGGCGGGAGTCGTGAATTTTTAACGATTTTGAAGCTTCACTGGTTTTATTAGAGAAGATTTAACGATGATATAAGTTACACTTGGTCTTTACATATTAATACAATTTGAATAAATAAGAGTTATGGTTCCAATTACAGTCTATCGTTGGAAAAAATTGTATGACAATTTAAAATCCAACATATTTAAACGACTMCACAAATGTGTTTGATTTACACCAAGAGCAAAGAATCAAGAGATCGAGAGCGAGACCGAGAGTTCTAGAGCAATTGAATGTGAGATGAATGAGAGAACTTTTAATAACTCATGGTGAATATTATTTTGAATCACACCTTGGAGGATAGGGAGAAGACATAAAGGTATGAGAGGGTGAAGACATGAGTGAAATGTGTCAAAAGTTTTTTGGGAACATGAAAAATATAATAATAATAATGTGCATTCGTAACATATACTATATGTTATTTTAATCGTAGATTAAGAGATTTTAAGACTAAATGCATAAAATAATAGTACTTAATGCATTATGAGTTGTTTTTAAGACTTTGTATATGAATGTATAGTACTTTGTGCATTAAAAATTGTTTTTAAGACTTTTGACAAATCTGGTTTATAAGTTAGTATAGATATAATAGACTAGTATATTACATATAGATATATATAAAATTTTATCAAAGTTATATATTAACGGTAGGTTAGGTTGGGTTGAGCCCGGCTAACCCAATTTCAACCCTTTTTATCAGCCGCTTAATGGGTTAAGTTTGATCAGGTTGTTAGAGGGTTCGCTTGAGTGGGTTGAATGGTTCGACCTACACCTCTAACCCTACATATGTTGATTGTGACCATTTTGATTATATATCATTAATTGAATGATTAGTATCTCTAATTCTAAAACTTGTGATATTTACGGTGCAGTGGGGATCCAATATTCTTGGAGCCATTCTGGATGCAACATGCAACCAACAGTGCAATTCTCATATCAGGATGGCATCGTATGAGTTACAGATACAACGGCAATCCTTTCATATCAGCGGAACTCGAAAACTACATCCGTAAAATGCATTCGGTTGCCGGGAATGCGATCACCGAAGGACGATATATCGTCTTCGGTATCGGCTCATCCCAACTCCTTAATGCAGCTGTTTATGCCCTTTCCTCCCAAGACTCCTCTTCTCCTGTTTCCAATGTTCTTGCTTCCATCCCATTCTATCCGGTAGCTTCCAATTCCGCTATTACGTGTCGTTACTTCCACCTTTTCGTTTTCCGTGAATATATAATATTTATACACGACAAACTAAAACTCACACACGATTCTCAGAAAGACTCGAACCCTTAAGAAGAAGGGTTACCGAGTATCCTATTGTTTTTGATTTATTCGATTCCGTTCATTAACTGTTGAGCGATCCACAGATGTACAAGACTCAAACGGTGTTCTTTAACTCGGAGAATTTTCAATTTGAAGGAGATACAAACGCATGGCAATCGAATAACTCTACAAACAACATGGATGTCGTTGAATTTGTAACATCACCAAACAATCCCGATGGGGAGTTGAAGAAATCGGTTCTCGGAGGGAAGACCATATACGATCATGCCTATTTTTGGCCACATTTTACACCGATCCCGGGCCCTTCGGATCATGATCTCATGGTCTTTACTCTTTCAAAGCTCACGGGTCACGCTGGTGCTCGTTTTGGGTATGTACGCGTTTATATCGTGTTTCTTAATGCATTTATAGTAGAATACATATTCCCATCCCTTATATATCACTATAACAGACATTTAGATATAACAGACAATTGTTTGTTCCTATAAACTTAAGTCCTATAAAGCAGTCTATTTAAACATTCATATAAAGCCAATCTTGGGCATTTATATAGGTGGGCAGTGATAAAAGATAAAGACGTATACGAAAAGGTTTCAAAATATATCGAAGTGGCTGATTTGGGGATTTCGAAGGACACTCAATCGAGAGTTTTGAAGCTTCTAAAAGTAGCCGTTGAAGGCGATGGAAAACCGCTTTTCGAATTTGCTTATAACAAAATGAAGGATCGTTGGGATAGATTGACTTCTGTATTCTCAAAGTCAACAAGATTTTCAATCCAAAAGAGACATCCATTGCACTGCAATTTCTTCAATGAAACTAGACTACCATCTCCAGGTAATTTTAATTCAAAGAATATCTGATATACAGGTACGTTCCAATCTTTTTGGAGGCCTGCTATATTCAAAATTTTTGATTATATTGCATAAATGAGATAACATATAACATAAATGAGATAACAGATAATAAATGAGATAACAGATAATATATGTCAAGGCCCTAAAACGATTAACAATCTGAAACTAAACCTAATAATGATTTGAACCTAAAACCAAACAATTATTGGTTTGAACCTAAATAGTTTCGGCTATAGTTTTATATAGGTCGATAAAAAGACCCTAAACACATGTAAATTGGGGCCTCAAAATTTCAGAGACCTTGTTTAAAATCTCACATTTGACATGCTAAGGGACGGCCCTGCTGATATACGACAAAACACCCTCCTCAGTTCAACTTTGGTAACGCTTGATTTACTGACTTTTAGTACAATTAGACTCTGGGGCTGTTTACTAAATTTTCCATTAAGTTCTGTACGGATAAATTTGTCTGGCTAGATAAAAATTTATTGTTGTTTACTTTTTTTTTTTTTTCTGAATTAACCGTCTGAAAGATAGAAATGACCGTTTTACCTGTTAATACAAAAAATCATCAGATTAATAGATTTATCAAAAAAATGAAGAAAAATAAACAATAGGTGATCGAGATTCTAAAGGATACACCAATTGAAGAAAAACCAACAAACCCATATGTGAAAAAAACCATTAAAAACCCAACTCTGAAAGAAACTTCAATTCGATTTTGGTGATGCATGGGAATCAAACAAATAATGAAAAACATCAATAAAAAACCCATAAAAGATTGATTCAAACCTACATGAATCCAAAATTTGAAGAAACTTCAAATCAATTTTGGTGATGCAGGGGAGTTCAAATAGGTAATCGATTTTAGAGAAGAGAGTTTCATATTTGGGTATTAAGTTTTTGATTTTGGTTTTTTGTTCTTGGTGATGCGTCGAAGTCGAGAGAGATGAGGAGAGAAGCAACAATTTTGCAAAGGAGATGTAGGTTTCAATCTTGGGAAATAGATGCAAGTTTCGATCTCTGGAAGAAGATGCAGGTTTTGATTTTCAGAAACAGATGCAAATTTTGATCTCCGGAAGGAGATGCAAATTTCGATTTAGAGAACAATTGCAGATCTCAATCTCTGGAAGGAGATGAAGGTTTCGATCTGGAAAATGATACGAAGGTTTCGATCTGGAAGATGATACGAAGCTCTTGGGAAGAAAGAAACGTGCAAGGCAAATTATTCCAGGGGTAGGGAAGGTAAACTTTATGGCTGAACGGGGACAAGTGAGCCTACCCAGCTGTGCGAATAAGCCGATATATTTTCAATTACGCTCTAAGTAAACACTCCATTATGGTTGTGCGAATAAGTCGGTTGAACCATTAAGCCCATTAAGTCACAAGTAAACAACCCTTCTATCAGCAACTCAGATGTCCTCTCATCTATTGTAATCACAATAAATAATATTTAAAAAGATTAATAGAAAAAAGGAATGACTAAAATACCCCTAAATAAATAATATCTTTTGTATATATTATAAAAGGTGTAATTGCATTTTCAGTTTTAATTTTGTTTTGAAAATTCAGAGTCAAAAGTATAATAATATTTTTATGTGTTTAATTTTAAATTTCATTTTTCTAAAATTCAAAAAATAAATAAATATTAATAACTAACACCATAAACATATTCTTCACAACATTTTGCGATCTTCGCGACTATTGCATCAATCATTCACATCCACCGCCCAAGTCTCCCCCTCCGGTGATTGAGCGAGAGAGAGAGAGAGCGCGATCGAGCCGTAGGGAGTAAATGATGTTCGATTCATTTCCTATTAAGTTCTGTATGAATAAAGATGTTAGTCTTGATAAAAATACAAATATAATATTCTGTTCTGTTGTTATGTTGAATAAACAATCTGAATGGTGAAAATGACTATTTTACCTTTGTTTTAAACATTTGTAAATCAAATTTTACAAACAAAAGATTGAACGAAAACCTAGATACAAGATCTTTAATCAGAACCCAAATAACAAAAGAACATATGTAATAAAGAAATTGATTAAAGAACAACATCAAGATTAAGAAGTCTGTATCCTCCAAGTTTTTAACCCTACGAACATGTTGCCCATACCTAAACCAAAAGGGTAAATAGGAAGTCAAATCTCTCTCCTTTAGTCAAGTTGCAGATGATCTTTCTTCCTCTCTCTGAGAACACCAAACCAGAAGGATGAATGAGCGCTAGAACAGAAGGATTTCTTCATAAATGAAGCGCTAAAACAGAATGATTTCTTTGGAAAGGTTTTGATTTATTCGTCTAGAACAGAAGGAAGAAAGAGGTGATGGAACTTGATCTAGAAAGGTGGAAAGGAAGAGTTTGAGGTGCTGGAAGGGAAGTCAATGGAGGAGATGCTGAGCATTGGGGGTTGGGGGGGGTTTCTAGAAATGTAAGAGCGTAAATTTGAAATAAAGGGTTGAATAAGTGGCTGAGTTCATATGACTCTACTTTTTTGGCTGACCGGTTAAACCATCGGTTGACCGAATAAGCAAAAAAACGAACAACAATGTATGGCTGACCGAATACGTCATACATGCTTAACAACCCATTAAGTGATTATCGACCAATCCCCAAGTGTCTCTCAAACAAATTGGAGGGCAATATTCTCATCTCCTCCCAAATACATAAGTCTATATATATATATATATATATAGAGGAGTGATCATATGAAAACCGCCCTCATTTGTGTAAACCGTGCAAACCACCTTCATCTGTCGATTTCATTGTTTAATCTTATGAAATTTTTTCATGAAATTGTTTAATCTTGTGAAATTGTTTCATATAAT